AGCATGTATATAGACCATAAATCCACGAGGTCATCAACTGGAGTTCGCGCTGGAAGCAGAACAGCTCCCTCTTCCATTTGCAGGGTTCACAGCAGTTCCAAGCATCTACATTGCGACAGTATTCGCCCCTACTGTGCCATAATCGATAATACTCCCGCTTACCCTCACAGTTAATGCAGTCTTGAAAAAAACATTCGTCTGCTGTAAACTTTGCAAACGTTGGAGGAGTCACGATGTCACACATTGTATACCTCAGCAGTCGATACATTATTAAATCCCTGCAAGCTTGCCTATTCATTTTCTTCGTTTTGCTGAGATTGCACAAAAACTCCATCGCATCCTCCTTGCCCTCGCTAGGGTTCAACAGCCTTAGCAAGCCAACAACGTAGGAGGCTTCCATATGCCGTGCCCTTCCATTTGCACTTTTGCAAGAACTCAACAATTTTGCCTTCATCAAACTCATACCAATCCTCATGCCACTGGTACTTATCTACTGACACGGTTCTCCAAACCTCAGGATCATTCAGCATTTCTTGAAATAACTTGCATGTTCCGGCCATGCTGTACAGATCTTCAGATGACTGCTTTGCAACCACGAGCAGCACCTTAAACCATGCCAATTGTGGAATATCCATCTCGGTTGTTGGAGAAGAGGGACTGAAAAGGGACTCTGGAGGATTTAATATTCACAGTGTCGTTTGTGGACCAAGAAGAAAGTGCCGGATTATATGTACCCAACCGTCGTGACCCACTTTACAATGGACGAAGACAACTTTGGGTTTAGATAAGTTATTATTGTCTTCGCTTCCCAAGCGGTGTGAGTGAAACGACACTTCACAATCATCGATGAAGGTGGAGGCACAGAATTGGTGTTCACACACGGACGTATTTACAGCATTTATGAAACTACTTATCATCGTTAGCAGTCAAAAAATTATTAAGGTAACTCGTGATAATTATTATGCTTACATCACATCAGCACTTATGAAGCAAATGACTTAGTCACATTTGAACATGACCAAGTAATCAGTTTCATTTTGCCAACTATGAAACTAAATATCAATGCACCATTAACAGTAAAGTAAATGATCACACTGTATATGATACTAATAATGCAAAAATGACATCACCACGTCTGAAGGTAACTTGCATTTTAACATGTCCAAGTAAGCAGTTGCATCTTGCCAAATATGGAACTAAATATGAATGCATATCACCAGTACAGAAAAAGAAAACTGTGTTTATGATACTGATAATGCAAATATGACATCACACGTTCTGAAGGTAGCTTACATTTCAACCACGCCGCGTTAACAGTTAAATCTCCGCAAATATGATACTTACTTTGTTTGAATATCACTTGTA